AAATAAATAAATAAAATATTTTAATAATAATCTATTTAAAAAGTACCTTTTATATTAATCTTCAACTCTCCATATTACCCATAATCATTTTTTACAAAATATTTTTCAGATTCACTAAGCATTCCCCTGCAACAAATGTTTACTGAGACAATAAACTGCCACAAATTACTTTCTGGTGAGACCTTTTTATGAATAATCAAAATGTTTGCTTTTATTTTAATTTTATGATAAGAATGAAAAATTGGAAACCTATTTACATACCAAACAATTCTATACTATGTATTCATTTTGTAATTCTGTGTAACTACAGGAACAATGGTCTTAGTCATGAAAAGTGGTATTCAAATCAAATTATACTTTACATGTAGTCAATTACCGTTATTTGCAGCAGTATGCTGTACAAAAAGTCACTAAAGCACTGAAATGGTGAATACTGAATCACTACTCCTAGGATAAACACAGGGTTAGGGTCCTACAAGCGTCTGGTCCTAGTATTTCATCAAATGATCAGAACATACCCTCATTTTCTGTGTTTTGGATTAAAGACATTTTACTTATTAACACTGAACTCCTGGCCACCAACACATTAACTCCTGCCTGTTCAAAGCCCACCTAACATAAATGTTGCCTGTGTTAGGGCACGTCGCACCCTTCCTGCACTCAGAACACTCAATAACACCTCAGCACAATGCTTGGGGACCATAAAATAGAAAAAGCATCAAAAACAGAAAAAGTGGGGCTGGTAGCTCAGTGGTTCTGCTACCTACCTCACAAGCACAGGTCCTGGGTTTGTAAAAAAAAAAAAAAAAAAAAAAAAAAAAAAGCACAAAAATACCTCCAAAAAAACCCACATTTATAGTATGCGATGAGAACAAGACCGGGTACCACCTCAGTGGATCACAACTTGAAATGTGCTCGTAAGTTTTCACCACTCCAAATGTGTCCACAAATGAAAGTAACATGAGCACTGATTATAGACTCACAAATAAATTTCAGCATGCAAAATCACAAATGTTAAATCTACAAATAACAAAGACTGACACTACAGGGGCCAAATTAAATAAGTTTTATAAGCAAGGTTTGGTCATGTATGCCTGTAATCTCAGCCTCCACAGTGAGTTCAAGGTCACTCTGGACCCTGCAAGACGCTGTCTCAAATAAACAAACAAATAAATACACTAAGCATTTTGATACTTCAGTAAATTTTATAAATGTGGGGATTTACATATTGATGGTTAACAAGATGTGCAAGATTTTATGACACTTCTTTTTGTTCGTTTGTTTGTTTTTTGAGACAGGGTCTCACTATGTAGTTGAAACTGACCCGGGGCTCACTATGTAGCCCAGGCTGGTCTCAAACTCACAGCAATCCTCCTGCCTCAGCCTCCTGAGTGCTGGGATTACAGGTATGTGCCACCACACCCAGCTATGACACTGTCTTTAAACGGTCACCAAAAAAATCATAGTGTCCTTATGAAGTTTATGAAGAATAAAAATGGAAAAATTATCTTAAATTTATTGCCCACCCTATAAAAAGTCAATGGGGGAAAATACTTAATAAATGATATAGTAACTGTACTTTTATTCCCTTCATTCATTCATTCAGGTACTGGGGAATGAACCCAGGGTCTTCTTGAGCATGCTAAGATCACATGGTCTACCTCTTAGGTACACCCTCAGCCTCAAATACATAACTGTTTATAAGTTCTCCTCTAAAATCTCTTTGGGAGAAAAAATTAGACATGTTTACCATCCTTATTACACATTTTAAAAACTCATAAGGATAAAAGTACTTTGAAGTATTTAAAACAAAGTTGTTTTGTTTTGTTTTGTTTTTGGGATAGGATCTTGATATGTCGTCAGGCTAGCCTTGAGCTCACCATGTAACGCATGCAGCAAGCTTCCTGCCTCAGTCTCCAAGTGCTGGGATTACAGGTGCGCACCCCCACAGCTTACTACAAAATAATCTAAGATATAAGCCCAGCACTCTGAAGGCTAAGGAGGGAGTATCAAAAGTTTGAGTTCAACCTGGGCTACTTAACAAGGCCCTGTCTCAAAATAACAATTTTTAAAAGGCTAGGAGCAAGGCACGGTAAAACTCAAGCCCAGCCTGGGCATCACAGTGAGTTCAAGACCAGTGTATACTACATTGCAAGACTCTGTCTCCAAAATCCAAACAAGGGGGAGGGAGCATCCAAGGAAAACAGCCCAGTGTGAAGATCCCTGATTCAATCTTCTTTACTGGGGTGTGGGGGGTGGCAGGCATGAACAGTGAAAAGATAAATTAGTGTAAACAAATAGAGATTAAAACCTAACATATATGTTTAAGCAAACTAACTTAGTAAAGTAAGTTTAATTTTTTCTAAACATTATCCATACAACCCTAATGCATGTCCAGTTTGCATCACTATTTCCTACAACACAATTCAAATACATACTAAATATCATCTAATCACATTAACACTTGAAAATTATGTTAGTGAAAATGAAAACAAAACACAACAGGTTAATTAAGACTAAAAAAATTTGAAAGCTAGTTTCAAAAATATAAAAACTACTAACGTTTTTTCCTTTCAAATTTCAGATGATACTCATTGAAACATTGTTTTTGATAGTGAAAAACAAGAAAAAATTATCTTTTAATAAAAGGATCATTTAAATCATGGAATAGTACATGATTTTTAGTAAGAAATGAGCTAAACTATATCACATATACACAAATACAGATCTTATATAGATATAGAGATGGTGTTTAATTTAAAATAGGACACAGATATATGGACAAGAAATATTTTTATGATTGAGTAAAAAAACTCACAGAATACAAAATACATGATTTCTTCTGTGAAAAACAAACATTGCTTATATATGTACATACACTAAAAGTGCTAACAAGGCAGTAGTTAAGGCAATTTAATTTTTTAAAAATGAGTTTCATAAGCAGGTAGGTTTATTGACAAGTGCTATCTTTTCTTTTATGGTCATTTCCAATTTGAAGTAATATAAAATTCATGTTATCTTCATTTATTCTGGTAAATTCTGCATACTAAAAAAAAGGTTCTCAGCACGCACTAATCCCCAAAACTGAAATGTTTCATAATTTATGAGCGGAATCAACATTTTTTGTAAGAGCCAAATAGTAAATATTTTAAGACTTTGCAGGCATACATGGTCTCTATTACATATTCTCTGCTTTCATCTTTTTTTTCTTGCAACTCTTTAAGAATATTTTTGAAAGTTTTTATTACCCAGGCCCACACAAAAACAGGTCATGAGCCAGATTTTGCTTGCTGGATATCTTTCTGACCACTGATTTATAACAAGAAATCAGTATTCAGAAGTTGCTATTTTAAATATATTACACTTGCCAGGAGTCGTAGGGCAAGCCTGTAATCCCAGCACTCGAAAGGCTAAGACAGGAGGACAACTGTGAGTTCCAGAACAGCCAGGGCTACACAGTGAGTTCCAGGTCAGTCTCAACTACATAGTGAGACCCTGTCTCAAGAAACAAAAACAAAACAACAACAACAACAACAATAATACATCCATACATACATTACAGTAAAGGCATCAAAGGTCATACAGGTTCAGTTTTACCATATATTAATTAAGGTGGAATTACTACAAGTATGATACATTGAAGTATGTGTGTGTGGTATTAGGGATTGAACCCTGGGCGCCTTCATACTGAGTTACATCACCAGATCATTTTATACTCTGAGACAGAGTTTCAGCAAGTTGCTCAGGCTAGGACAGAACTTGCGATCCTTCTGCATCAGCCTCCCAGAACACTGGGCTTACAGGTGTGCACCAAGCCCAGCTTAATGCACCATCGAATTCTAATGCTAGACAAACTGACAAAGGACCAGAAATGCAATTTCTATAAAGCACATGTATTCAGCAGAAAGAAATTAGCTGAAATTTAACTACTATTTTTATGATAACTAAAGCCACTCACAGATTCAAATATTCAAAACTATTGTTTTCTTTCAGGTATCATCAACCCCTGAAAATTAAGTAATGAATTTAGACTGGTAGTGATTTATTTGGTTTTAATTTTTTAACTTATCAAGATTATTATAAAATATTAACAGTCTAAAATATTCTACAAGGGCCAGGGATTTAGCTTAGTGGTTCCACGACCTGCCTTGCAAGCACAAGGACCCAAGTTCAATCCCCAGTAACAACAACAACAAAAAAATTCCTACAAAAGTTCATAGGCTTGGAACCTCATAATATTTATTGCGTCAGAGACAATTACAAAATGAGAACCAAGAACTTTCATGAAAAGGTACAAGATCCCAATGACAAATGTAACTGTACTGTATGTATACCTAAAATGTATCAATAAACTCAGAGAGAAAAAAAAATTCAAATGAAATTTGGTACAGTCTCTTTAAAAAAAAAAAAAAAAAAAAAAAAAACAATTACAGGGGCCAGGGATTTAGGGATTTAGCTCAGTGGTTCCTCCACCTGCCTCGCAAGGTGCAAGATCCCAAGTTCGAACCCCGATACCCCCCAAAAAATTACATTACACTTTTTGTTTTGTCTTTTGACACAGGGTCTAACTATGCAGTTCAAGGTGGACTTGAACTCAGTATGTAGCCCAGGCTGGCCTCAAACCTGTGGCGATCCTGCTGCCTCAGCCTCCCAACCACTGGGATAACAGGTGTGCAGCACCATGCCTAGCCACCAAGTAACCAATTATTATACCACTCTTTTCTTTCTCTTTAAAAGACAGCTTTTATTTATTTTAATTTATCCAAGATTGAAAGATCCTCATCATTTGGATGCGATTATGAAATGTAAATTTGACTATGAATTATAAACTAGGTCAAATTAAAATCTAAAACGCAGGGCCACGGATTTAGCTCAGTGGCACCTCGCCTGCCTCACAAGCACAAGGTCCTTAGTTTAATCTCTGGTAACCCCCTCCAAAAACAAATCTAAGATGAGAAATTCATGTTGTGGATGTAATCAAACATTCATAAGAATCTTACCTAGACTGGTGGGCTTTATCAGTTCATCCAGTAAGTCATAAAATGGTAGTTTTTGAAGTTTTATATCCGGATGGACTGGGTGAAGAGCTGATGTAAGATGCGGGAGTTCTAGTTCGTGTTTAGGTCCCAGAAGAGAAACAGGGAGTAATGGTGAAGATGCAGGGTGACCGTCGTAAGTGAGTTGTGGAATGGTAGATGGAGACAAAGTTGCTGGCATAGGACTTGAATGTACATTGGGGATAGATAAGTCTGCAGGCGTCATGATTTTCTGGGGGAACCGCCGCCTATAGAGTTCTTTAATTTTCATTTGTACAGCAGGACTACAGCCGGACTTGAGTAAATGCAGAGCTTTTGTGAGAAGTTCGTGTTTGCGTCCGTGCTTGTTTCTCCCAGCGTAGCCCAACAATACTTGGAGTTCAGAAACTCTAAGGCTCATAACCATTTGCTTGGAGAAAAAAAAAAAAAGTAAAACATTAGTATTCAATAAAATACTGTGCAATATTAATCAATATTTTATTATAACCCCTCTACTTACAGACTACTTAAATAAAGACAGCTCATTGACAATCCTAATGACTTCAAACTTAAAATGTAATCACTGAGCTGGGTGCAGTGGTGGCATGTGCCCGTCACCCCAGCACCATGGTATCCTAAGACAAGAGGACCCTAAGTCTGAGAGTCCTGCCTGGGCAATTTAGCACAATCATGCTTCAAAATCAAACAGAAGAGGTCAGGTTCAAAGGCCCTGGATTCAATCCTCAACACCAAAGAAGAATAAAGGAAAAAATTAACCACTGTAAATAAGGATATTTAAAATTAATGTTTCTAACTTCACTGGCTTTCCCCCTGGATTATGCAATGTATCAGATGAAGTGTGCACCAGAAGGGCCATATCTCACTTTCCTCCCACTGCTCTAATGAGACTGCCAGCTACTCCAGCATCACTTAGTTCCCAGGAGAGTTATGCTGCATATGTGGCAATGATGATGATGATGTGCCCTCACCAAAAGTTTTGTTTTCTTGGGGGAAAAATTATAAATACATATGAAACAAACGGCCCACCTCAGGCCCCAGATGTAGGCAGGATATTAATATCATCAAGTATTATACATTAACTTTGGAATTTGTAGGACTTCAACTATACCTGTTTTGACCAATTACATATTAGATACTACATATGATATTTTCATGTGGGTTGTCACTTAAATCTTTATAACACAGGTCTTATCCTTTCTGCTTTACATATAAGAAGACTAGTTCTGAAAGATTGAATAACCTACTTAAGGTCATACAGCTAAACAGTAGTCAAGATTCTAAAGCTCCCGCTCTTTCCACTAAACCATTAAAAGGGACAAAGCTAGTCCTGGGATTTAGCTCATTGACACCTGAAAACTCAAGGTCCTGAGTTGGGGGGGGTACAATCAAAATTCTTTGGGCTGCAAATTTAGCTCAGTGGTGCAGCACCTGCCTCACAAGCACAAGGTCCTAGTTCCATCCCCACTAACATAAAGAAAAAAGAAAGGAACAATGCTAGACATGTATTAACTCTTACTCCATTGAGAAGAATGGGCTAAAAGTCCAGGAATTCGAACCAGATGCATGTGTGAAGCTACAGTAAAAAAATCTATTTAACTTTGTTATTATTTAATCCTCTGTTCACAAATTTAGTCACTTTCTCCCTAAGCCCCCAACACTAAGAAGCTAACAACAGAAAATGCCTATCTAATCCAGCCCTACTTTAAAACATCAGAAAATAGAATCCAAAGAAAATAAATGACTTACCCTAGGTTACACAGCTATTAATGGCAGAATCCTAAAAGTCTTCACTATCAGCGACAGGAGACACACAGAGCTTACCCGTCCTCAAGTACTGTATTCCTCCCCTCTTACCAAGTACCAACACATAAAGCCTGTGCTACCTCCCCTACCTCATCACCTCTCAACTATAGTGACTCTCTTTCCTAGCCAATCCTCTTGGTTCTCTGCAGGTGGCAAAACAAGTTTAGAAAAAGAAAAAGAAAAAACAGAAGTATGCAGAGAGTTTTATTAGCATTACAGCTGGTTAATCAAAGATATAAACGTCTTTTTGCTACTTCTTTGGCTTGGAAAGCTCTTTTGTTTCCTCATGGTCAGGCTTTGTCAACTCTGCCTGACAGAATTACTTTTACTGGACATTTTTATGTTTTTCTTTTAGTACTTATCCTGCTACATTATCATTTTGTTTACATACATGATTCAATGACTAGACAGGTTCTGTAAGGTCCACATTATCCTCAGCACCTAGGACCAGGGCCTCCTGACAACGGGAGAAACTTACAAATGTCTGCATCGTGAACAAATGAAAAACAGAGGCAAACCAAAGGAGGGGGAGGAGGTGGAATACAGTGATAAATTATGCAAATTAATGCCCAAACACAAGCTCTATGGAAGAATGTAAAGCTACAACGTAAGATTATAAAACAAATTCTACCAACCCTTAAAAAGTTCCTCTTTTTAGATGTTAGCTGATATTTTAAATAATTACTAATTATAATGTCAGCAGTTTCTACCTATTCAAAAAATATTAGACAGGATACAAAAGAGTTTTAAAAGATATCATTTATCTTAAAAGGAAAGGGAAATTGAAACAGAAGTGCAATATTACATTTAAAAGCATCTGGTTTTAAAGAAATAACTCAAAATCACTTCTCAGACTTTTGGCTAAAATCAAGTGGGGCATAGTGCCCAACCTTCTAACCCAAGCTACTCAGGAGGCTGAGGCAGGATTCAACTTTGAGGACAGTCTGGGCAATTTGGCAAGAGCTTGTCTTAAAATAAAAGGTCTGGGTATATGGCCCAGTGCTCCTTCAGTTCAATCACCAGTGAAGGGAGGCAGGGAAGAAGAGAAAAAAGAAGTGGAAACTTCAAGGATTAGAGGTTAAAAATTAAGTTGGCATTGGTCAAATGTAGTTTGTTTTACAAGGAAAAAATACACAGTATATAAAGGTGTATGCAACCTACAGCCTGCATGCAGCCCTGAATAGCTAGTAACAGGGCCCCACAAAATTGTAAACTTTAAACATTACGATGTGATTTTTAGCACTGTTTCATGACTCGGTTGCACAGTCTGAGCAGGGAAAGCTGCAGAAGGGGGACTCTGTGGTGCTAGCTCACCTCCGGCACCAGCACATGGTCAGTCGAATGGAAACCCACACAGAGCATCTCAGATGCCACTGGTGCTTGTGGGACTTGGCAGTTAAAACCCATGGATTACAGATAGGTTTTTTTTTTTATTTTTGTTTTTTTGGTAGCGGGGATTGAATTCGGGTCCTTGCGCTTGCACGGCAGGCCACTGAACCACTGAGCTAAATCCCCGGCCCCCAATTACAGATAGTATTTTAACCTACTTACATGTGCATGTGCCTATGAAGGCAAATGTTCTTAAGACATGGAAGTTTCCTTCACTTGTTATGTTGTAAAATAACTTATTAAAATAATTTTTTAGCAGCTATGGTGTATAAGTACAAAAATGTATCAAACAGCATACTCCTGTAATGCCAGCACTTAGGAGGCTGAAGCAGGAGGATCATCATGAATTTGAGTCTAGTCTGGGCTGCACAGTGAGACTATCTCAAAAAAAAAAAACTAAACTAAAAACAAAACAAAAACAAGATGAAAAAGCTTATTGTTATAATTACAAATACAATATTGGTAATATTAGAGAAAATAAATGGCACTGGTAAATTTTCATTCCAGCATGGCTTCTTCAACATTATCACAAAAGAAAACAGAGACCAAATAAAGAAAAATTATAAAGGAAGTGTCCAATGATAAATGGACAGATGAGTCCTCTTTCTTGTTAAGACAAATAAGGTACTATGCTTCATTTGTAGGAAAACTGTCAGTTGTCAAACATTACAAGTTGAAAAACATTATATCCCAAAACATGCTGCCAAACTTCATGCATTATCAAGGAATGTTTTGTAAGGCAAAATAGCACAATTGAAAAAAAGACTGTCATCTCTACAAACTGTTTAAAGTTTCAGCTCAAACAGACTTTATTATAAAACTTAGTTAATGTGACAGCAAACCTGACTGCAAAAAAAAAAAAAAATCAAAATGATTTACCAATGGCTTCCATTATTAAGCAATGTATAGAAAAAGCATGGCTAATAGGATTTGTCCTCATAGTAAATAGATTTTTCTAAAATCAGTTTGTCTCATCAGACTGTGCTCAGGCAAACTGATCAAACTAAAAAAAAATCTATAAAAAAAGATTCAGAGAGTAAAGCTCTGATTTCAAATTTTATTCTTTGGCAATAGATAATTACCCATATGGCCCAACCCACCATTATTGCTAGAAGTATTGAAAACAAATACAGTATCATGAAGAAATGGTTTCTCTGGTGCCATGAAAAGATACAACTAAATCTCCTGATTTACATGAAGCAGTAGAAATCAATTAAAATTATTTTCTTTAACTTTTGTCAATGTATCTGTCTGGTACAGCTACAGATGGCACCCCAATCATGGCTGGCAAAGAATGGAGGATGATACAACTGCCACTGGCAACTCACATTAAGAAAATAATCACTAGATCACACATCAGGAAAATTTATTTGCAAAAGCTATAAAAATGGATCACGTTGTACAAATCATAATCAAAGCTGAGAGTTTCATAATATCTAAGGGAAGGGGCCAGGAATTTAGCTCAGTGGTTCTACCACCTGCCTCACAAGCACAAGGTCCTGAGTTTGATCCCCGGTACCAAAAAAGAAAAGAAAAGAAAAAAAATTGTAATAATATCCAAGGGATTAAATCATCATGAATTCCAAGAGTTCTTTGAAAGTATGGATGATGGCTATGGGGACATCACTTACTTTTCTGAAGGTGGTTAAATCAAAATAAAATGTCAGGAAGATCTAAAATCAAGTCATTTATGGAATTAAAAGGCAAAACTTGAAGATGACACATGGATCACAGATTTAACATTTTTGGTGTACAGTATTTGCTCATTTAAAAAATTAAACATGTATTTTTCAAAGTGAAAAGTCAACATATCTAATTTATGTTTGAAACAATGTTAAAAATAAAACAGTATGGCAAGCTCAAGTCATAGCAAAGAATTTTATGCATTTTAATACACTGTTTAATCAGTCCTATAAACAATGAAAGAAATGGAGCCTTGTTTTCTGTGGGGTTTGTTTGGTTGGTTGGTTGGTTTTTTGAGCCAGGGTCTTGCTACGTACTGTAATTTAGCCTGGCCTTAAACTCACTATGTATCCAGACTGGCCTCAAGTTTGCAGCAATCCTCTTGCCTCAGCCTCTGCAGGCTGGAATTACAGGTGTGCGCCACTATGTCCAGCTTGCTTTTTGTTTTGATACAGAAACCTGAGAACAAGTTTCAAAATATCTGAAATACAATCAGTTTTTTAGTATATCTGTAACTCAATCTCAGTTGAC